CTCTCTCTCTCTCTCTCTCTTTTCTTTTATGTATACCGAGAGTATTTGCACCAAGACAAATTCCTTGTGTGTCCAATCACACTTGGCCAATAAAAGTATTCTATTCTAAAATATTCTATTCTCTAATCCAAGGATCTTCCATCTTGGCAAGTTTAAGACCTGTGTACTTCAACTCCCAGAATTCCCGAGCTAACACAACTGGAGGAGGAATTCTGGGAGTTGAAGTCTACAAGTCTTAAAGCTGTCAAGTTTGAAGACCCCCTGCTCTACTAGATGGGTGTTTTGAGTCCCTACCCTCACCTCACAACAACACAACTCCTCATAGTATGATAGACTTGCGGGGCCGGCACTTTGTGCAACAAGGTCACAGAGAGTATTAAGACTGGGATTAGGTTAGGGACTTCTGTCCTCACTGTGAGTTGTGTTGGGTGGGTGCACGAAGGGAGGCTCAGCCAATCTCATTGTACACAGGTTGTGCTCTCACAACAAAGGTAACAATAATAAGAGAGACGGGCCTTGTGTGCCACATAGCCCAATTCCTCCTTCAGACCTTAAAAACGCCACCAGGACAAGCCTCGTTTATATTAACAACTTGGTTGCATGAAACCTAGCAAACAGTAAGCAAGACCAATGGTTACTACAAGCCTCTGTGCTTACTTGCCATAAGGACTCGAAACCAAAATACTTTGACGAGACTATTTCATGCCAGTGCCTTTGTACCTAGGCACAACCCTGCTCAAAGCAAAGGTGTGATATTACCAGAGTCCCACCCGAAGTGACTTGCTGGAGAAGACAGACATTCAGGTCCCACGTGCTGTCCGAGCAAACAATCTTAGGTGACAACTCGGTCTGCAAAATTTTAACCCTGGTCCCCAAATGCCGATGCATTTGACCTTATCGAAATAAGCCACTAAGAACTTATCCATCAGCCATCAGACCATTTTTTTTTTAGACTCCACAAAACAAAAAGAAAGACCAAAAAAAACCCCAACAACTCACCACTTGTGGCTTGGCCCTGGGGCTGCCGGCGTTCACATCTCCATGGTGTTTGGGACATCTGGGGAGTTTGGGTTCCGTCGTGGTTGGCGTGGAAGGCGACGATCTGGGGGTATCCGCAGTGTTGTTGGGCAGGGGTTCCCCCGAACTGAGAGTCAACATGTAGTGCTTGGTCACATCCTCCAAGGACGGGGCTGGAAGAGATGCTGAAGTTTTGGTGGGCAGGTGCGGAAGCCCCTGGATGGCAGGGTGGGCATTCTGACAGAGCGAAGCGGGCAGGTGGGCACTGGAGATGGGAAGGAAGGTGGCAGGCTCGCTGGTGTGGCGCACGTGCTTGGAGGCGGGCCTTGCCCTGCCCAGCGTGGTGGGCACGGTGGGAGACAGCGCCGTCTCGTCCTTCCTGCCTTCCTGGTGATTCGCTCGGTCGCTGCGCTTCTTGGAACTTCGCCGGACTATCCTCGGCGACAAGACCTCCGCCAGCTTGGGATCGAAGCTGAAGTTTTGAGGGACCTCGTGGGCTTCCGGCGCCATCGGCAGAGCCTGCTCCGACTGGGAGGACAACCTGCGCGCGTCCTGCTCCGCCGACTGGCCCGAAAGGATGGGCTCGCTGCTGGACGGCAGGATGTTCTGCTCCATCTCGTTGATGGGTTCTCCGGCACCCATGAAGCCTGGGTTGGCATGCTCGCCGCGGCGGCTGGGGTCACTGAAGGACTTCTTCTTGATGGGCTTCCCGTTGCCCTTCTCGTCAATCACCTTGTCCATGGCACCGGGCTGGCTGACGATGTTCTGGATCACGGTGCTGTAATCCTTCAGGCCATTGCTGCAGACCGAGAGGTCGCTTGCGGCGCTCCCCGTGCAATCCGACAAGGCCACGGCAGAAGCGTCTAAGATTCCGGGCTTTGAATTCAGCGACCCCAGGAGGTTGCTATCCACGGAGAAGTTCTTGGCCTCCTCTGTGATGGAGCACCTTCTGTGGGGCATGGGGTCGCTAAGAGACCGGTAGGAATCAACGCTGGATTCCCCGCTGCTCCCGTTGCTGGATTCGGAACCGTTGTTTCCTAAGGACGGGAACTTCCTCCGTCGCCGAAGGGCGCTGGGAGTCAGGGGTGTCTCCGACAAACCCTGGGATGCCGTCTTATGATTGGGGAGCCCCTCGTCCACGACGGCCACGTCGTCGTTCCCTTTGGTGAAATGGTTTGGGAGAAGCGTCTCCTTCCTCTCAAGAGAAGCGGCCTCAGTTCCTCTTCGGTTAGCCAACTTCCACGCGGCCACGGAAGGATCCAGGTAACTGTAGGCCGGAGGTGTCTCTGGCTCGGTCACAATTCCTTCATCGGTCATACTGGATTCAGGACCTTCTTCTAAAGATTTCCTGCAGGGCAAGTGTCCTTTAGGACCAGCTTCCTCCAAGCACTGACTGCAGCTTTCTTCTTTCTCCTCTCCCTCCTCCGTCCCGTCCTTCCCCCTTTCCTTGGGCTCTGAAGCAAAATTATAGCCGTGTTCTGAGCCCATCTTACTTATCTTCTCAAACACTTGCCTGGCTTCTTGGATGTACTGATCCTGAATGATTACAGGGAGCACCTCCTCTTCCCTGTCTCGCCTGTCGGAAACCACACCATTGTGGTCGAAGCGAGTGGCCAGCAAAAGCTCCGAAGAGCTGGATTTCATGGCGTTCTGCAGGCAAAGGCGGCGGGAGGCCGGCTTGTCCGAGCAAGTGAAGGATTTGGCCCGCCTCAGGGTCGCCGTGAGGTCCTTCAGGGTGGGACGTTGGCCCAAGACCCAATGGTTTGGTGGTGGAACCTCACCTTGAGTTCTGCCCACCGACGGGTGCTCGGTTCCTCCTTGGAGACAGGGTTCATATCGGCTGACACTCTCGCCGCCAAAGGCCACGTCTTCTTGGTCACTCAACCTGCTGGCCCTTTTCTTGGCCTTCAGCTCCGACAGGTCCGATTTCAGGAAACTGAGGAGGGCCAAGGTCTCGCTGGCAATGTCCGGGTTGGACATGGACTTCTTTTGGTGCTTGGATCTGGCCGCCGGTTCAAAGGCGCAAGGCAGCAAACTCTCAAAAGAGGACAACTCCTGCCTGGACCTCCCCAACCCCAATGGCAGCTTGGGCCGGGCACGGAGGACGGGGGCCTGCAACCTGGCAGGGCTGTCGCTTGGGCTGAAAGTGGCGGGCCGGCCCAAGCCGAGAGCCGGCTTGCTCGGCCCGGTCCAAGAGACCCCGGGCTGCTCGTCCTCTTTCAAGGTCTCCGTGCTGGAGTATCTGCTGCTGTTTCGGGAGCCGGCTGGGCTGGAGGCAAAGGGGGGGATGCTGACCTTGGAGACCCGGGACACCAGAGGCAGGGGAGGCCCCAAGGAAAGTGGGGTGGGGGTGCCCAGGAAGGGCCTGCTGCCCTCAGGGGGGACCCCCAAATACGGTCTGGGTCCCTCAGCCTGAGAAGCCCCTTTGGCGTCTGGAGCTGGGGTCGTCCTCTCCTCCTCCTGGGGGGGCAGGAGACCCCCAGAAAGGTCCAGCTGGGCCTTGAGGTGCCATTCCATGCCAGCCACCACCCTGGCCTCCTCCTGGGCCTCAGTTTCCCTCTTCTTCCTCCGAAGGGAGCGTCTGTGGGGCACCGCCCGGGCCTCCTCCTCCTCCTCCTCCTCCTCCTCACTGTCTGAGGAGGGCCTTGGGGGGCTCTTCACGGCAGGCCCGGGGCCCAAGCCCGGCGAAGGCCTCAACTCGTCCTCGCTGCTGCTGGAGACCTCAGGGGGCACCCAGCCGCCCCAGGCTGGGCAGGGGGCCGGCGAGGCGGCGAGGAGGGCCGGCGAGGCCGAACTATGCCAGGAATGCGAAGTATCCCACAGCTGAGGCGGCGGCGGCGGCGGCCTCTCCGACGGGCCTGGGGGGCCCCGAGGCGGCCGGAGCCCCGCGAAAGGGATGCAGCTGCGGGGCGGCGGCGGCGGGGGGACGCCCCGACGCTCTTCGGCCCAGCAGGGCCCATCCAGAGCCGGCCCGCCGCCGCCGCCGCCGCCGTCGGGAGGCAGAGGAGCCCCCGGGTGGTCGGTGGCTTTGCTCCGCGGAGGGCCAGCCCCGTCCTCGCCCGGGACGCCCCGTCCTCGCTCGGCCGCCCGTTGCTGCTGCTGCTGCCGCCGAAAACTCTCGCCGAAAAGTTTGCGCATCTCCGTCACGCTGGGCCAGTCCGGCGCCGGCGCCTCGCCCGGCCCTTTGGAGGAAGAAGAGGAGGAGGCGGCGGCGGCGCTGCTGCTGCTGCTGCGGGGCGGCGGGGTCGGGGGCGGCCCGCCGGCCTCGGAGCCCCCGAGCTCCTTCTGGGCGGCGGCGGCGGCGGCGGCGGGGCGGGCGCAGGTGGCTCTTCCGCGGCGGCGGGCCGGACTCGCAGGAGGCTGGTCTTCGGGGCCGGCGCGGGGCGCGCAGAAGCGCTGGGAAAGTTGCCGCACGGAGGGCGAGAGGCTCCGCAGGGCGCGGCCGGCCGGCTCGGCGGCGGCTGCTGGGCGGGAGGAGACGCTGAACGAAGCGGCGCGGCCGGGGGATCGCCGCCCGATGGGCTCCAGCGGCGGCGGGTGCTCCGCGCTGGGCGGGGAAGGCTCCCCCCGAGAGTCTCCTCCTCCTCCGTCGGGCTGGGCCGGCCCGGTCCACTTGGCCAAGCGCTGGAAGGAGACGCTCCGGTAGAGGGGAGTCCTCTTCTGGCTCGGGCCCCCCTCCGCCATTGTTGAAGCAGCCGGTTGCAGCAGGGCCCTCCCCACCCCCCAGCCCCCCACCC